ACCTATATATATATATATATATATATATACAAATTTAATAAATACAAAATAATTCTTATTTTTATTGGTTTCAATATGTAATTAAATTGATATTTCTAATTTGACGATTAAATGTATCTCCGATGTATCTCCATCATGTACACTTGGTACATTTCTTGTTTCTTGTCACCATACGTTACCAGTACGATAACGCCTGCATTCTCTTTGCAGATGACGTCCAGCGACAAGGACTTCAGATTTATGGCAACTAACGATCTGATGAGTGAACTGCAGAAGGACAGCATTAAGCTAGACGATGATTCTGAGCGCAAAGTTGTAAAAATGCTTCTTAAGTTATTGGAAGACAAGAACGGAGAAGTGCAGAATCTTGCCGTCAAATGGTAGGACTCCTTTGTCTAGACTGCCAAAACAATTAAAATAATAAATTCTTTATATGTTATTCTGTATATATATGCATTAACTTTGTATCTTGTATATGATATTTATGATTTTTTAAATATGATAACAGCAAAGTTATAAATTTTATTAATATAAATGAGATAAAGCCCAAAAAGTTAAACATATTTATTTTTTCAAATCGATTCTGCATCTGATTTTACAATTGTAAGAACATATACGGTTTTAGCTTGGGCCCGTTAGTCAATAAAGTGAAAGACTACCAGGTGGAAACTATTGTGGATGCTTTATGTACCAATATGGTGTCGGACAAGGAGCAGCTACGCGACATCTCCAGCATCGGCTTGAAGACTGTTATTTCCGAGCTTCCTGTGGGTTCTAGTGCTTTAGTCGCAAATGTTTGTAGACGCGTTACAAACAAATTAAGCAGCGCCATTGAAAAGGTAAACGATCCTTGTCTGCTTCGCTGTGAGATTTAATATTTCTGGCTAATAATGTGACCAGGGTTGCCGCAGACCTGGAAAAGTCAGGGAAAGATGTAAAAGAGCCTGGAATTTTGACCTTTGCTCACAATTTCCTTAAAGGGATTATTTGTTTTATTGACAAAACTCAATAATTTTTGTACAGTGTTTTTGTGTGTATTGTTTTTTTTTTATTTGAAAATCTTTTTTCAGAATTAAACAATAGATAATAACAGAATGAGATGATTTTGTATAAAAATCGAAAAAATTTTCGAAAATTATGATTTTGTTCGAGACTTCTCTCTGTTATCGCAATCGAAAATATTCTGAATATTTAGCGATATTAAAGAAATGTCTATAGAAATCTTTTTGCTTTTACCACTGAGTTTTTGTCTGGTCCCCAAGCAACAGAAAATTCAGTTATACCAAAGGAATTTTATTCTGTAGTTTAATTCATAACAAGCAATGTCAAAGCGACGTTAATAATTTACTGGCCTGAATTTGCATTTGGGATTACATTATGTTATTAAACTTTTAAATTTATGTTGCTTCTAATAATATAAGTTATCTTTTTTGTAACATGTATCTTCTAAACATTAAGATTTAGAATTATATATTTGATACTGATCATGGAAAATTTTCCACTGTTGTCTGGAAATCGTGGAAAAATCAAGGAATTTTAAAATTTATCTTTTGTGACAACCCTATGTGCGTATGTGTATGTACACACACACGCACGCGCACGATACACAATAAAATATTTGTGATGCATTTTCAGCAAGAGGATGTATCCGTACAATTAGAAGCTCTCGACATCGTGGCCGACCTGTTATCCCGATTTGGCGCTCTGCTAGTCACATTTCACCCTACAATTCTGGCGGCGTTGTTACCGCAACTCTCCTCGCCACGACAAGCGGTACGTAAGCGCACCATAGTGGCGCTGAGTCACCTATTGACGTCCAGCAACAATTATTTGTACAACAAACTGCTGGATCATCTCCTCGAGGGTCTTCAAACTCAAACGGCGAAGAATGTCATACGTACCTACATCCAGTGCATCGCTTCTATCTGGTCGGTAAAACGATTTTTGCATTGCGTGTGAATATAATTGATGACGAGGGGAATAAATTGTCGTATAACTTGTCCGTCGGAATGTATTGCAGCCGGCAGGCGGGTCACAGATTCGGCGAGCAAATAGAACGTGTCATGCCGTTGATCGTTCAGTACAGCAACGAGGACGACGATGAATTGAGGGAATATTGTTTGCAGGCATTTGAGTCTTTTGTTTATAGATGTCCGAAAGAAATTACGCCGCACATAAACAAGGTACACAATATGGAGTCGTTTTTATGCGTTACACAAATATTTATACATATTTTACGCGTTATTTAATGGAATATTTGGATCTTTTTTTTTTATAGATTATAGAGATCTGCCTAATATATATTACATACGATCCGAACTATAATTACGACGATGACGTCAACGATTTCTCTGATGGAGAAGGCGCCGCGATGGATGTGGAAGAAGACGGAGAGGAAGATGCGGAGGACGAGTATTCCGACGACGATGACATGAGTTGGAAAGTTCGTAGAGCAGCTGCAAAGTGTCTAGAAGCGGTTGTATCCAGTAGAAGAGAGTTATTATCAGATCTTTACAAAGGCGTTTCTCCTGCATTAATTGCCAGGTTTAAAGGCAAGTATCGCGTACACCGGATTCTAGTGTTTATTTAAAAAGTAGAGAAGATGCAAGGAGAACGTCCTCAGTTAATTGAGAAATCTTATTTATGACCCTTTGAATTAATAAAATTCAGTAAAAAATAAAGGGCTATGAGCCAAAGCAGGATGTTGTGCGCTCCAAATAACTGAAGTCTTTAATTATAAAATATATATAGTAGACAGACGTTTCGATCCAAATAGGATCATTTTCAATGTTAATACAGGTAGAACTGCCATGGACTTTCTAATCATTTGATAATTTTTATTAAACGTTGATAAGGACTCTTCAAGAATATCCATATAATGTATTTGAACCGACCGAACGTTATCTACCTTAAAACTTCAGAGACTGTAGTTACGCTCCTTTTAATATGCTGTCTTGATGACCGACATGAACTTGAAAACTTGCGCCTTAATCTAGTTCTTTTAATGCGACAAGTAGTTCCTCACATTTTTATATTACCGGACAGCTTTAGAATACCATATGTGCTTGTTTTTAATATTTTAATATTTGATATGGTTAGGCAGTTAGGATGACCGAATATTGTTTTTAACTATGTATGATTAATTTTGCGTTTTAACATTGAAAATGATCCTATTTGGATCGAAACGTCTGTCTACTATATATATATTTTATAATTAAAGACTTCAGTTATTTGGAACACACAACATCCTGCTTTGGCTCATAGCCCTTTATTTTTTATTGATTTATTATATATTGAGCTACATTCTCTGTTTGGTTTAATAAAATTTATTGTATAATTTTATTTATTGTCCATCTTATTTATTATTTATCATTCGAATTAATGAAATTGCACTATATTACATAATTGCAGAAAGGGAAGAGAATGTCAAGTCAGACATCTTTCACGCATATATCGCTTTGTTGAGGCAAACAAGGCCGGCTACCGGAGTTGCGCTTGATCCTGACGCGATGGAAGACGACGACGGACCCGTTTCGCTGTTGCAACAGCAAGTACCGCTAATAGTGAAGGCGGTTCACCGTCAGATGAAGGAAAAGAGCATTAAAACAAGACAGGATTGTTTCTCTTTGCTGAAGGAGCTGGTGCTCGTTTTGCCTGGAGCTTTAACTAATCATATTCCGGCGCTGATCCCCGGCATACAGTATTCCCTGGGAGACAAGAACTCCTCGTCGAATATGAAGATCGATACTTTAGCCTTCGTGCACACGCTCCTGGTGACGCATCAACCCGAGGCGTTCCACGTTCACATGCCCGTTTTGGCACCTCCGATTATACTGGCTGTCGGCGATCCGTTCTACAAGATCGCTGCCGAAGCGTTGCTCGTGTTGCAGCAGCTTGTGCAAGTTATCAGACCTCATGGTGAGGAGGCATTTTACCGTTCAATTTTTATTTGCACTCGCAGCGGATGGTAAGAGCAATTACTTATGGACGGACTAACGCTTTTGCAGAGAAACCATTCTACCGCGGTTTCACCTCGTTATCCAACGAAATATATCACTGCACTTTGATGAGGCTGAAAACGGCGGATATCGATCAAGAGGTGAAGGAGAGAGCTATCGCCTGCATGGGACAGATCCTTGCGCACTTTGGCGACACTCTGTCGGACAAGCTGCACGTGTGCCTGCCCATCTTCCTGGATAGGTTGCGCAACGAGATAACAAGACTCACCACTGTTAAGGCTCTAACTTGCATAGCCGCGTCTCCCCTGAGGGTCGATCTGAAACCGATCATGGTAAATTTATAAAACAAGAAATGCGACGTCGAGAAACCGATGCAATTCTCTCTTTCTACAAACTGTCGTCGCATTTTGTAGGAAGAAGCAATACCCATTCTTGGATCCTTCTTAAGGAAAAATCAACGCGCTTTGAAACTCTCCTCTCTCCCGCTTCTGGATACATTGGTATGCAATTATAGCTCGGCTCTGCATCCGGATTTACTTGATAAGGTAATGGAATATTATTATAATTATGATTAGAAAGATTATAATAGAGTAGATATGGTTAAATGATCAAGAAGTTATGATGATAGTAGTAATAATTCTGTAAATAATTAAATAAATAATTATAATAATAGGATGTATATGGTTAGTAATGAGAAGAAAAATAATAAATATTAGTGGCAAAATTAATAAAAGGATTAAATTAGATAGTTTTATCATATTATTTAGGGCAAAGAATAGTTTATTTAGAATATTAATTTTGGAGATTAAAGGAATAAAGTTATTTATTTTTTTGAAGAATTATAGTTTTATATATATATGTTTTATATATATATGTTATATATATATATTTAATTTACAAAATTAATATTTTAATTTAAATTATAAAACTTTACTTATATTTTTTGATATAATAGTTTATATGCAATTTTTTGTAATATCTTTAATATTAATAATATTTATGTATAAGTATATGTTAATAGTATTAATATTGATTGAGATATTGGTAATAAATATTTCATTAATTTTTTTTTTTATTTTTAGATTTATAAAGACAAAGAATTTCATTTAATTTATTATTTAGTTTTTAGAGTTTGTGAGAGGAGAGGGTCTTAAGGTTAGGGTTGTTGGTGATAATTGTTCGATTTTATGGTAATGAGTTATATTATATGTTTAATATTAGAAAATTTTAATAAAATTTATGATAAAATTTGTTTTAATAGTAGTTTTTATAAATTTTATGTTAGTAAAAAATTTTATAATTATGTTTTATTATAATTTATGTTATTTGATTAGATTTTTTTTGTTATTTATAATTATATTATTAAGTTATAAAATAATTGTCGCTCGTATGTGTAACAATAAAATAGAAAAGAGTTGAGCCAATAAACGAGCAAAACTTTTTTGGTTGATTAATTAATATGAAAATTTTTTTAACTATCAAATTAAAAAAAATTTTCATTTTTCTATTTTATTGGAATATTATTTACCGTGTATATTACTCAAAGGATCAATTGAATGATAACTTTTTTTTTGCAGGTTACTACAGAGTTACCTGCATTACTAAACGAGTCAGATCTGCACATTGCGCAGTTGACGCTGAATCTTCTCACTACCATAGCAAAGTTACATCCGACTGCTCTGACTAGGGTTTCTGAACATATCTTGCCAGAAATACTCATTTTAGTAAAATCGCCGCTTCTTCAAGGTAAGTAAAAATACCTCGTTTTAATAATTAAACGAATTGAAAATTTCAGTTACAACGCTTATACAAATTGAATTGAATTTTTGTCAAACAGGTGTCGCATTAAATTCTATGCTCGAGTTTTTCCAAGCCCTAGTTCAAGCAAATCTGCCGAATCTTGGATACAGAGATCTTTTGCAGATGTTAATAGTACCGGTTAATTCATCCCTACTTCATAAGCAGGCTTATCACTCGTTGGCCAAGTGCGCGGCCGCACTGACAATCACATGGCAGGACGAGGCACAGTGTATTGTACAACAGTTGCTGAAGGACGTTCAGAATCCATCTGACATTCAGAACGTTGCGCAGCACATATTCGCCTTGCTGGTCATTGGAGAAATAGGACGACATGTGTAAGACAATTGTGTGATAGATTTCTAACAAACTCAGGGTATTACCGGGAACCTGGAATTCTCAGGAAATTTTACTGATAGGGAAGTTTTTTGAATTTTACTTTTAAATTTAATTTTATCCCTTTAGAAAGTAAACGTGGCCCCATCTCGAAGGCCCCTGATATTGAAAGTTAATTTATTTTAAAATTGACATATATAAAGACTTTAATCTAAAAAACGATAATCCGAAAATAATAAATCAGGCATTAAGAGTCTAATAACGCAGAACTTGGTGCGTGAAACAATGTAATCTCTGT